AATATACCTTCCCTAAGAAACCAGAGGCCTTCCTTCTGGGCATCGTCGGCCAAATGGTGCTAAAGAAGGATAGAACTTTCTTTATGTATGCGACAACAGCAGCAAGAATACTCATCGCAAAGTATTGGAAGACACAAGATTTACCGACTCTGGAAAGTATGGCAGATGCAACTACATGGAACTTGCAGAAATGACTGGCAGAATCCGAGGCTTGGGAGAAGAGACGGTGGAAGAGGACTGGAAGAAATTTAAAGACTATTTGCAAAAACATTGTAAATTGTATGAATGTTAGAATGATACAGGATAGAAAGAAAATTTGACATTAGTAAATTTAGTGGAAAGAAGTATGAAAATAACTGAACTATAACAACAAAGATGAAAACTGATCAATATTATGTCAAACTTAAATATCTAAACACTAGATAACAAAATGTAAAATTTGAGACATAATATCTGAAAGGTGCAAAAACAAGATTTGTGAGAAGGTGAAGTACTACTGAACATGAATTTTTTAAATGGGAACGCAGAAAAGGGAGATGTGAGGGAGTCCGAAAGTAAGGTTACAGAAACTTGGTTTTTGAAGATATTTTATTGTATTTTCTTTTTCTTTTTCTTTCTTGCTTTGTATTCTATGTATATTCTTTTTATGTTTTCTTTGGTGATGGTGTTTTATGTGTTGGGTGTTGTATTGCTTAAAAACCTTAATAAATATTTAAAAAATAACAAAAAAACAAACCTCTCAGGGGAGCATTTGCAACCGTTTGGCACCATTTTTGAGTGAAGTGCCGAAAGTCAGATTTTTTATGAAATTGTGACCCGGGGCTTAGGGATTTTTCCAAAAAAAATATTTTTTTGCCGGTTCAGTTGTCAAGGGCTGATTTCTTGTCCTGTGATAAAAAGCCTTCTGTTTCGACCGCCAAACCTCTCAGGGGAGCATTTGCAACCGTTTGGCCCCATTTTTGAGTGAAGTGCCGAAAGTCAGATTTTTGATGAAATTGTGACCCCGGGGCTTAGGGATTTTTTCCAAAAAAATCTTTTTCTGCCAGTTAGGTGGTTGAGGGCTGCATTGTTTTCCTGTTATAAAAGGTCTTCTTTTTCGACCACCGAACCTCTCAGGGGAGCATTTGCAACCGTTTGGCACGATTTTTGAGTGAATTGCCGAAAGTCAGATTTTTGCTGAAATTGTGACCCCGGGGCTTAGGAATTTTTCCCCAAAATTTTTTCCTGCCAGTTTAGTTGTCGAGGGCTGGTTTCTTATCCTGTAATAAAAGGCCTTCTGTTTCGAACGCCAAACCTCTCAGGGGAGCATTTGCAACCGTTTGGCACCATTTTGGAGTGAATTGCCGAAAGTCAGATTTTTAATGAAATTGTGACCCCGGGGCTTAGGGATTTTTTCAAAAAAATCTTTTTCTGCCGGTGAAGTTGTCGAGGGCTGATTTCTTTTACTGTGATAAAACGCATTCTGTTTCGACCACTAATCCTTTCAGGGGAGCATTTGCAAGGGTTTGGCACCATTTTTCACTTAATTGCCGAAAGTCAGCTTTTTCATGAAATTGTGACCCCGGGGCTTAGGGATTTTTTTAAAAAATCTTTTTCTGCCGCTTAAGTTGTCGAGGGCTGATTTCTTTTCCTGTGATAAAAAGCCTTCTGTTTCGACTGCCAAACCTCTCAGGCGAGCATTCGCAACCGTTTGGCACCATTTTGGAGTGAATTGCCGAAAGTCATATTTTTGATGAAATTGTGACCCCGGGGCTTAGGGATTTTTTCAAAAAAATCTTTTTCTGCCGCTTAAGTTGTCGAGGGCTGATTTCTTTTCCTGTGATAAAAAGCCTTCTTTTTCGACCACCAAACCTCTCAGGGGAGCATTTGCAACCGTTTGGCACCATGTTTGAGTAAATTGGAGAAAGTCAGCTTTTTGATGAAATTGTGACCCCGGGGCTTAGGGTTTTTTTCAAAAAATTCTTTTTCTGCCGGTTAAGTTGTTGAGGGCTGATTACTTTTCCTGTGATAAAAAGCCTTCTGTTTCAACCGCCAAACCTTTCAGAGGAGCATTTGCAACCGTTTGGCACCATGTTTGAGTAAATTGGCTTAGGGATTTTTTTTAAAAAAAATATTTTTCTGCCGGTTAAGTTGTCGAGGGCTGATTTCTTGTCCTGTGATAAAAGGCCTTCTGTTTCGACTGCCAAACCTCTCAGGGGAGCATTCGCAACCGTTTGGCACCATTTTTGAGTGAATTGCCGAAAGTCAGATTTTTGATGAAATTGTGACCCCGGGGCTTAGGGATTTTTTCAAAAAAATATTTTTCTGCCGATGAAGTTGTCCGAGGGCTGATTTCTTTTCCTGTGATAAAAAGCCTTCTTTTTCGACCGCCAAACCTCTCAGGGGAGCATTTGCAACCGTTTGTCACCATGTTTGAGGAAATTGGAGAAAGTCAGATTTTTGATGAAATTGTGACCCCGGGGCTAAGGGATTTTTTCAAAAAAATCTTTTTAACGGTTAAGTTGTTGAGGGCTGATTTCTTGTCCTGTGGTAAAACGCATTCTGTTTCGACCACCAAACCTCTCAGGGGAGCATTTGCAACCGCTTGGCACAATTTTAGAGTGAATTGCCGAAAGTCAGATTTTTGATAAAATTGTGACCCCGGGGCTTAGGGATTTTTTTTAAAAAATCTTTTTCTGCGCTTAAGATGTTGAGGACTGATTTCTTGTCCTGTGATAAAAAGCCTTCTGTTTCGACTGCCAAACCTCTCAGGGGAGCATTCGCAACCATTTGGCACCATTTTGGAGCGAATTGCCGAAAGTCAGATTCTTGATGAAATTGTGACCCCGGGGCTTAGGGATTTTGCCAAAAAAATCTTTTTCTGCCGGTTAAGTTGTCGAGGGCTGATTTCTTTTCCTGTGATAAAAAGCCTTCTGTTACAACCGCCAAACCTTTCAGGGGAGCATTTGCAACCATTTGGCACCATGTCTGAGTAAATTGGCTTAGGGATTTTTTTTAAAAAAAATATTTTCCTGCCGCTTAAGTTGTCGAGGACTGATTTCTTGTCCTGTGATAAATGGCCTCCTGTTTCGACCACTAATCCTATCAGGGGAGCTTTTGCAATCGTTTGGCCACCATTTTTGAGTGAATTGCCAAAAGTCAGATTTTTGATGAAATTGTGACCCCTGGGCTTAGGGATTTTTACAAAAAAATCTTTTTCTGCCGGTTATGTTTTCGAGGGCTGATTTCTTTCCTGTGATAAAAAGCCTTCTGTTTTGACCGCTAATCTTTACGGGGGAGCATTTTCAACCGTTTGGCACCATGTTTGAGCAAATTGCCGAAAGTCAGATTTTTGATGAAATTGTGACCCCGGGGCTTAGGGATTTTTTTCAAAAAATATTTTTTCTGCTGGTGAAGTTGTCGAGGGCTGATTACTTTTCCTGTGATAAAAAGCCTTCTTTTTCGTCCGCCAAACCTCTCAGGGGAGCATTTGCAACCGTTTGTCACCATGTGTGAGTAAATTGGAGAAAGTCAGCTTTTTGATGAAATTGTGACCCCGGGGCTTAGGGATTTTTTCAAAAATTCTTTTTCTGCCGGTTAAGTTGTCGAGGGCTGATTTCTTTTCCTGTGATAAAAAGCCTTCTGTTTCAACCGCCAAACCTTTCAGAGGAGCATTTGCAACCGTTTGGCACCATGTTTGAGTAAATTGGCTTAGGGATTTTTTTTAAAAAAAATATGTTTCTGCCGGTTAAGTTGTCGAGGGCTGATTTCTTTTCCTGTGATAAAAAGCCTTCTGTTTCAACTGCCCAAACCTCTCAGGGGAGCATTGGAACCGTTTGGCACCATTTTTGAGTGAATTGCCGAAAGTCAGATTTTTGATGAAATTGTGACCCCGGGGCTTAGGGATTTTTAAAAAAAATCTTTTTCTGCCGCTTAAGTTGTTGAGGGCTGATTTCTTTTCCTGTGATAAAAAGCCTTCTTTTTCAATTGCCAAACCTCTCAGGGGAGCATTTGCCACCTTTTGCACCATTTTGGAGTGAAATGCCGAAAGTCAGATTTTTTGATGAAATTGTGACCCCGGGGCTTAGGAATTTTTTCAAAAAAAATCTTTTTAACGGTTAAGTTGTCAAGGGCTGATTTCTTATCCTGTGATAAAAAGCTTTCTGTTTCGACCGCCAAAACCTCTCAGGGAGCATTTGCAACCGTTTGCACCATGTTTGAGTAAATTGGAGAAAGTCAGATTTTTGATGAAATTGTGATCCCGGGGCTTAGGGATTTTTTCAAAAATATCTTTTTCTCCCGGTTAGGTTGTCAAGGGCTGATTTCTTTTCCTGTCATAAAAAGCCTTCTGTTTTGACTGCTAATCTTTACGGGGGAGCATTTTCAACCGTTTGGCACAATTTTTGAGTGAATTGGAGAATGTCAGATTTTTGGATGAAATTGTGATTCCGGGGCTTAGGGATTTTTCAAAAATATCTTTTTCTCCCGGTTAGGTTGTCGAGGGCTGATTTCTTTTCCTGTGATAAAAAGCCTTCTGTTTCGACCACTAATCCTATCCAGGGTAGCATTTGCAACTGTTTGCACCATTTTGAGTGAATTGCCATAAAGTCAGCTTTTTGATTAATTGGTGATAAAAAGCCTTCTGTTTCATCCGCCAAACCTCTCAAACCTCCTGTGATAAAACGCCTTCTGTTTTGTCCTTTTTGCAAACCGTTTGGCCCCGTGTTTGAATAAATGGGAGAAAGTCAGATTTTTGATGAAATTGTGACCCTGGGGCTTAGGGATTTTTTTTCAAAAAATCTTTTTCTGCCAGTTAAGTTGTCGAGGGCTGATTTCTTTTCCTGTGATAAAAAGCGTTCTTTCGAACCGCTCAAACCTCTCGGGGAGCATTTGCAACCGTTTGCACCATGGTTTGAGGGAATTGGCTTAGGGATTTTCTTTTTTAAA